GCACGTGGCTCTGGCAAGCGCAGCTGCCGTGATGTCAGTTCTGGATGCATCCCCCACGGTGCCCTTCCCACAGGGTCCTAACAGAAGGAAGGACAAAGTGCGAGGGTCTCAAGGACAGTTTTGGATCCTGGGTGATGCCTGGCGGGCCCCCCGCCCTGGTTCTGGAGACCCTGAGGCCTCTGTCCGGCACTCGGGCTTTGAGTCCATCATCCCCTGTCTCCTGGACCAGGAAGGATATTAACTCCTTCTCAGTGCTCGCCAGCCTCTTTGCCAACGCTCCCTTTAACAAACAGGAATCTCATGCTGGAATTTCAAAACTTTTCACGCCAAAGGAAAAATTTAATTAACATTTGCTGTTTCAAACAAAAGATGCTCTCCTTCCAGGATCCTGTCCCTTATGCATCCCCTCGGGAGGTCCTTGTCTGTTCCTTGGGCTCCTGGCCGTGGTACTTGGCTGGAGTCGGAAGACTTGTCGGAATCGCCCCCCTACGGCCCTGAACTATGTTCCTGTAGCTTCAGTCCTTACCATGACCCTCGGATCTGACTGGGTGGGATGGAGCACTGGTTTGGGGCCCATCTTATTTCTAATAATTTCATGAAATTGCTTTAGTGAATCAGAAACATGTTCTTCCTGTTGATATTTCATCCATCCATATGTTTCAAAGATGTTCCCAATCATATGATGTACATAAACCCCAAAGAGTCAGGAATTTTGATCTCATGAGTTCACTGCTGCGTCCTGATTTCCAGGACTGTGTCTGACACTCAAGACACTTGTGGCTTGAAGAACAGAACACAGACTCATTCACGGGCAAAGCAGCTACTTCGGCTGGCTAGGGGAGCCTGGCATGCTGCAGTCCACAGGGTTGCAAAGAGTCATGCATGACTTAGCGACTGAACAACACCAAGAAAAAAACTTGGGCGTTATTTTTAATAAGACAAAGCAAAAAAACCTGTTTAGTAGTTCCTATCAGTGTACCTAATGGGAAGGAAAGGAAGGACAAAGTGCGAGGGTCTCAAGGACAGTTTTGGATCCTGGGTGATGCCTGGCGGGCCCCCCGCCCTGGTTCTGGAGACCCTGAGGCCTCTGTCCGGCACTCGGGCTTTGAGTCCATCATCCCCTCTCTCCTGGACCAGGAAGGATATTAACTCCTTCTCAGTGCTCGCCAGCCTCTTTGCCAACGCTCCCTTTAACAAACAGGAATCTCATGCTGGAATTTCAAAACTTTTCACGCCAAAGGAAAAATTTAATTAACATTTGCTGTTTCAAACAAAAGATGCTCTCCTTCCAGGATCCTGTCCCTTATGCATCCCCTCGGGAGGTCCTTGTCTGTTCCTTGGGCTCCTGGCCGTGGTACTTGGCTGGAGTCGGAAGACTTGTCGGAACCGCCCCCCTACGGCCCTGAACTATGTTCCTGTAGCTTCAGTCCTTACCATGACCCTCGGATCTGACTGGGTGGGATGGAGCACTGGTTTGGGGCCCATCTTATTTCTAATAATTTCATGAAATTGCTTTAGTGAATCAGAAACATGTTCTTCCTGTTGATATTTCATCCATCCATATGTTTCAAAGATGTTCCCAATCATATGATGTACATAAACCCCAAAGAGTCAGGAATTTTGATCTCATGAGTTCACTGCTGCGTCCTGATTTCCAGGACTGTGTCTGACACTCAAGACACTTGTGGCTTGAAGAACAGAACACAGACTCATTCACGGGCAAAGCAGCTACTTCGGCTGGATAGGGGAGCCTGGCATGCTGCAGTCCACAGGGTTGCAAAGAGTCATGCATGACTTAGCGACTGAACAACACCAAGAAAAAAACTTGGGCGTTATTTTTAATAAGACAAAGCAAAAAAACCTGTTTAGTAGTTCCTATCAGTGTACCTAATGGGAAGGTCTGATTCCTCTTGATTATAAATAATTCAGTGGAAATGTGTTCGCTGGTGTTTCCAGGTGATTTTGGGTAAACACACATTTCCCATCAGTGTGTGGGTGTCCCCTGTTGCACAGACATTGGTGTCGTGATCACACCTGTGCCCTTGGGAGCCCATCCAGGGTGGTGTTGGAATGCGGCCTGCTGTATTTATGAGCAAATAAGTGAAATTCAATTCTTTAGGTTTGACGTGGTTGTAGCATTCTCACTACCCTGCTTTTAACAAATGAAACTTCAAATCCAAAGTAGAATAAATCAGTTGGTACATTCTTGGAGTAAAGAAAAGCAGTACTAATGAGTTTACTTGCTGTTCATGCCAGTCTCAATAATCCTGGTGGGCTCAGCCTGGTTTAATGTACCGCAGCCTTTCTCTAGTGCTTAAGTTGAGCATCCCTAAACTGCTTTGCTGCTATGACAGGGAGACATGAGCAGTGAGGCCCTCGGTCAGGCTGCTTCACCCTGCCTGAGGAAGCTGGAGAGTGGCTTTCCTGGGGGGCCTGTGTCAGCCTGGCTGTGTCCACGCCTTAGTGCAGCCCTGAAGCAGTGGTTCTCAAACTGTTTGATCTCAGAACCCCCTGCGGTCCTAAAGATTGTGGAGAGCTTGTACTTATGTGGGTGGTATGGATCAGTATGTGTCTGACTCTTTTCAACCCCATGGACTGTAGCCAGGCTCCTCTGTCCCTGGGATCCTCCAGGCCAGAACACTGGAGTGGTTGCCATTTCCTTCTGCAGGGGATCTTTCCAACCCTGGATCTCCAGGGATCGAACCTGGGTCTCCTGCATTGCAAGTGGATTCTTCACTGTCTGGGCCACCAGGGAAGCCCATCATATGTATATGTTTATCTAAAAACACATTTGTTAACATCACCACCAGTGTCCTCAGAAAGCTCTTCAGTCTCGGGAAACCGTCGACTGAGACCTTGGTGACAGATACAACTTTTCCACAGTTCTAGGTTTTTTTTGAATAGCTCAGATCTTGTCATTGGCCCCAAACATCGTCAGTTGTTTTCCTTCTCAATTCTGTTCCTTTCATTCCAGGGTTTTCCTCCTAAAATACAGATCTGATGATGAGTCTTGGTGGCCAGACTTTGTAACTTGTTTCCAGCCCCCAGTACTTGGGTGGATTCCAGCCTTGTTTCAAGCCTATACGTTAAAAAAAAAAAAAAAGCTTAAAACAGCACAGATTTACTGTTTTTCTGTTCTGCGGGTCAGAAGTCCAAAATGGGTGTCACTGGGCTCCAGGCCAGGTGTTGGGAGGGTGTGTACCTTCTTAGAGCTCTAGGGAGAATCCAGTGCCTTGCCTTTGTCGGCTTCTCGAGGCTGCCTGCCTGCCTTGGCTCTGGGCCCCAGACAGTTCGAGGCTGGCAGCGCCCCTAGAGCCTCTTCCATCCCACCCCTCTGACCGGGATTCCCGGCTCCTTCAGGGACCCTGAGGATTACATCAGACCCACCTGAGAACATCTCACCGGAGGTCGGCTGGTTCCTCTGTTCGTCTGCAGCCTCCTTGTCATGTAGCCTGCTATAGTCACACATTCCCGGAAATAGGACCTGGACATCGGGGTTGGGCGGCATGGTTCGGGCTGTTGTAGTCTAGCCTCTCCATCTTTATGTTCCGTCCCTGCTCTCTCATCCTCTGAACAGCATCCCCTTGTGGCGGAAGCCTTTCCTGGGGTCTCCAGGTGGAGCTGCCGCTTTCTCTTGGGCCGAGATAGAGACTCGTGGGGACGTCAGTCCCCAGGAAGGATCCGTGTGTCCATCGGCCCTGGACTGTGACCTGAGCCTCATTCACCTTCGCTTCTCCCACTGCCCTTGTACTTGGCACATGATAGACAGCTGGCAATATACTGTCAGTTTTGGACATTTGATCATGGGCTGCGTTTTAGAGGCTATTGAGTGAATGTTCGGTTTCTTATCTATAACAACGATGTTAAGAGTTACGTAGGTGTCATCCTTGTGGGCTATCAGAATACTTAGAAGTCAAGTGTCATGGTAGGTACTGCAGCTCATGCTCAAGTGGTTCGGGAGAAAAGTGTATATGTACATAATGATAGAGCAAATGTGGCAAAATGTTCAGTGTTGGTAAATGTAGATAAAAGTATTGTAAATATGCTAGCTTTTCTGTAGGTCTGAACATCTGCAAAAGAGGAAGTGGCAAAGAATGGCATCTTAGTGTAGGATGAACAGACGAAAGGTGTTGGTTGGGATGGAATAGTTGATTCCAGCTGCTGGAATCTTTGTGGCAGTGAAGTCACAAACTGGAGCTGTTGGTGAACATCTTCACGTGCGTGTTTGGCTCAGTGCTGATCCTCGCTGGGGTCACGTCGGCTATAGAATCGTGTTCAGGTTGCATGATAACCAAACCCCTCCCGCTCCTGAGTGAGTGAGGGCGTGAGTGTGTGCAGAGTAGAAACCCTGTGGCTGGGAAGACAGAGGACTTTATGTGTCTCATCCAGGAGGTTCTTCCTGCCCACATCGGAGCAGTCTGGGGCCTGCCCTGAAGTCCCTGGGGCTGGCGGGTGCTTACTGCCAGCCAAATAGGGTACTGGAGCCATGCCACTGTGTGTGGTCCCAGCGAGGACAGGAGAGTGGACAGTCACAGACTGGAGCCCCGAGTTCCCTGGAGGAGGCAGCTGAGGCTGTGTGGCCCTGCTGACCTGGGGGTCTTGGTGCCAGCATCCGCGAGGACTCACTGCCCGGCTGGCCCCTCAGGGCCTCTGAGCGTGCACAGGCCGGCTCTGTGCCCTTGCTGTGTGGATGTGGCCTGGCTGCTGTCGTTCTTACTTGAGACGTGACCCCGTGTTTGCAGCGGCGGCAGGGTGGGACCCCTGGTTTGGAGACTGTCTTGTCCAGTTTCTGGGTCTCTCCTCAGCAGTGCCTCCCCACATCCCCTCCACACCCTGCCCCCCCAATGCTTCTTCATCTACATTGGGACCTCATCTCCCCACCATTAGCCTGCCCTCTAATGCTGAGCTGAACAGAAGCTTTCCTCCCTGCATCGGCCACGGGCTTGGAGGTTCTGGGCCCCCAGATGGAGTCTAACGTGGTCTCTCCCCTTGCCTCCTAGGAACCAGCTGCCCCCTCTCGAGCCCCCTGAGACGCTGTCGCTCCAGGACCAGGGACCCCCGGGTGACGAGGTGACAGTCCTCACATCGTAGTCCAGGTGCAGTCCAGCAGGAGGGTCTGTTCTTGGTGCTGGGGTGTCACTCATTCAGGCCTTTCGTTAGCTCTCGGCTTTTTGAGTTAACTGACAGCTAAGCCCTAAGCCTTCTTTTTTAACATCTCACTGGCCTGTCTCAGTCAGCTCTTCTGTCTCACCCGGAAAGGCTTGTCTTTCACTTTTGTGGGCTTTTGGTTTCTTTGTGCATTTCTGCTCCATCCAGACTGCTTGACGTCCTGGGACAGCAGGGCCTTGGTCCAGGGCGCGTGGTGGGGAGTGGGTGTTCCCGCGCTTGGGGCTTTGTCTGCATGGCCTGCAGTCCTCAGAGGGACTGGGCCCTGTGGGCGGCTGCAACACCATGGCTTGAATGCATCTGTTTTTCGTCTGCCTGTGACTCTTGGAGCCGTTGCAGTCTCAGGGTCAAGGGCCTGTTCCAGTCTGCATCCTGCTCCTAGTCTTCGCATCTGGCTCCCCTGCCTCGCGGTCTTTGGCCTTTCACTCTTCTCAAGAGTTCTCCCACAGCTTGTTCCTGGGTGCCGTAACCACCTGTCGGTCAGTGTATTTCAGGCCGGAGCTTGGAGCCCCAGAGTCCAGGAATGGGGGCAAGGGGAGACAGGAACAGGCGTGGAGAGGAGGGAAGGCCAAGACTGGCCAGGGATCTCCGTGTCCCCCATGTCCCTTTAAATAAGAGTGGGTCCAGGGACTTGCCTGGTGGCCCAGTGGTTATGATTCCGAGTTTCCACTGCAGGAGGCCCGGGTTCAATCCCTGGTTGGGGAACTAAGATCCCACATGCCACGTGGTGCAGCCAAAAAATTAAAATCAAATAAAGTGAGAGTGGGTCTATTTTTCACCTGTTGCTTATATTTGCATCTGGCATAGGATGTAGGTTGGGGGAAAAGGATCCTACTGTATAAGTGCTGGACAGTTATTGCTCAGGTTATTTTTTGATAAGTAACAGGTCACCGAGTATGGAGGCTTCACTTTTGTCTCTGTTTCATTCATCACAGTTTTTCAGAGGGGTGTGTGTGTGTGTGTGTGTGTGTGTGTGCAAAAGAACTGCAGTTGCCCACGCACACACCTACTCCTGCAGTCCTCTGGGCCCTTCATATTCTTAATTTTGAGTGTGGAGCCGCATTGAGAAGACACACATAGTCAGGATCAGCGGCCCTCGCTGAGTCCTTCATCAGGGGACTTGAGGGTGTGTAGCTATGACCTTTGCCATGTGGAGGCCCCCTGGGGGGGGCGGGGCTCCCCAGCTCCTCCCTGCGGGCAGGGGGATGCTCCGAGTGAGCCCCGTGTATGCGAGCTTCCCAGTTAACCACAGGCCGGACAATGAGCCCTGGCTTATGGCGACCCCTGGGGTCAGTTTCCAGTGGCATTCTGTAGGGACAGCCTGTCTTCAAGATCATGGCCCTGGAGCTTCCATCACGGCAGAGCCAGTGTAACCACCGTCCATCTTTCACACCCAGTGCTGCAGGCCAGTTCTGGCCTCGTGTCCACACTCTTGGCCACTTAGTCCATCTCAGGCTTCACCATGATGCTCCGGTGCGTTTTCTCCTGGCCCTTGATCATTGGTCCTGCGTTACTGTGTCCACAGGCCCTCATGCACCTGGCCGCTTGCTCCCGAAGCTGCGGAGTAACTTCAGGTCCACGGCGGCATGTTCTCTGTGAGGGAGACAATTCTGTTACTGCCCACTGGATGTGTACCCCACATGTGTGACGTAACAGGAATCCCCGTGCTGGGAAAGTGTACAAACAGGTGCTTGGGGGTCGGCCTACAGACAGGTGGGGTGTGGAGCCAGGAAGGGGGCCATGGTGTTTCCTTCAAACTTTGAATGCTTTTCTCTTGGGGGCGAGTGTCTGAAGTCTTGGCCGTCAGAGAAGCAAGTTGCACACATACCAGCACGACCTGTCGTGAAACGTGCCTTTCCTGCTGGGGTACCCCTGCACAGCCAGCCCTGCGCAGGTAATCCCCACGGTAACCAGGGGCTCCAAGAGGAGAGGACAGGGATGGAGCAAATGCAGGAACACCGGAAAGGATGGAGTATCTGCTTGCACACAGGCACTTTGTCAGCTGGATCAAAATGCCCTGCTCGAGGGCGAGTGCATCGATTCACTCCCAAATAAAGAAGGCAGGTGGCAGCTTGGGACCGTCTCCCCTCGTGTCTGTCCTGTCCAATAAGACCTGATTAATCCTCGCAGTGGTATGTGGTTGATGCCCTCAACCCTTTCTTTACATAAAAGGTTTACATCTCGAGTGCGCATCCCTCAGACGCCCACCTGCAGCTCTCCTGGCCTGTCCTGCTCCCCGCAGCCCAGCCCAGCCTCACCTGTTCAGCCTGGTGGGTCTAAACTTTGTCTCTCGGGCAGGTGAGCGTGTGACCTGCCAAAAAGTGGGGAGGGTGAAACTGAAATTTCACATACGTCCTGCACCACGAATAGCACAGAAACACATGTCTGCTGGTTTCTCTCTCCCATCTTTTGAATAACCTACAAACCACTTTGTTCTTCATTTTCCTTAAACCTCTTCTTTGGAACACACGTTGGCTTCTGTAATTTCAGGCAAAGTCCCCAGATGGTACAGTTCAGGCCCAGAGAAATGTCTAGGGACATAGTCCATGACTGCTTATTAAAAATCCTTTACTCTTGGCTGTTTTTCTAGTTTAAAAAAAAAAAAATTGGCTGAATTTTGACAGTTTCATATGGCTCAACCTAATCATGCATAATAGACTTTGTACACAGCCGTGTCTTAGCATCAAGGGGCTGCCCTGGGGGTGCAGGTCTCCAGAGGAGTTTCCTTGTTGTTTTCTGGGTCAGCTAACAGGAAATCCTCTCTCTTGCTTTTGGGAATTTCTCAATGTGCACATATGCAGAGAGAAGACGTAATGAAACTCTACATACCCAGGTACCTCCCAGGCGGACTCTTTAGAAGAGATTTCCTTCCCCGCATTTCAGAAGCAGTAAGCAGTCACTGAAAGAATGTTAAAATGCTGGTGAAAATGCCAGTAATCTGTCCAGAGACACTGCCTCCATTCTCCTTCCAGACCAGTCTAAGTATACACTCACACTTGTGTGTGTTACTGTTAGTTTTCTACCAGTCTGAATATACACACACACATATGTTCCTGTTATTTTCTGCCAGTCTGAATATACACTCACACTCCTGTGTGTTCCTGTTATTTTCTGCCAGTCTGAGTATACACTCACACTCCTGTGTGTTCCTTTTGTTTTCAAGGGCTGCTGCCAGGCTCATTTGACACTGTCCTCCCACTTTTTCAGAGACATGCGCCCTCCCAGCGCAATATTTAATCTGTCTCTTTGGGAGCTCTTCCTCCGTATGATTCTCCAAGCCCCTGCCCTCTGTCTGCTTTCCAGAACTCTCCCCCAAGGCCCCTGCTAGGCCCTGCTGCCCCAGTTACCTCCTTGTCCCCGGACCCAGAGAAAGCGCCTGTTGCTTCAAAGCCCGTGGCTCCTGGCCAGCGGCTGCGGGAAGTGGGCGGGTGATGCAGATCCAGTCCACCGTGTGAGTAACTCATTGACTGGACTTGACAGGAGTAGTAACATTCAGAAAGAGGTTCTCTTAACCCATGTGACTCCCTTATTTGTAGGATTTCAGATAGGGTGACAAAGTTGAGTGTTGTCAGGCGGGAAGAAGAGTACATTTGGTCAAAGTCGTGTCACTCTGGCACCTGCCGTGGAATAGGGCTCCTGGAATCAGAGGACGTGGGTTCAAATCCTGGCTCCCTACTTAAAGTGAGGTAACTGTGGCTGGGGGTCCACTCGTCCTCCTGGGAGAGGAGGGAGGCCTGTGACTCTGCTCGTCTCTGGGGAGGACAAAGTGAACCCAGGTGTGTGTGTGTGGCGAGGAGCTGGTGTGTCGTGTTGGTTTCAGGTGGACCCCGGCTCCCGAGAGAGTCTCTTCTCCAGGTCGGTTTGGGGAAGCTGTCCCTGACTTCTCACAGCTACTTAACTTTTGAGCCAGTGCATTTTCTAGAAATTCTGAGTTTTCAGAGTAGCTTGTGGCAGTGGGAAAACTGGGGGAAGGGAGGAAGTGACGGGTATTTGAGGATTACAGTGGCCCCAGGCTTACGGGTAAGTAGGTGAGTCTGTGAGAGTTTGCTAAGTGAGTAACTGAGTAAATGGGAAAATAATGGTCTGTGACCGAGCAGTGAGGTCAGATCTGCCGGGCAGGAATCTCCGCCTTGCTTGGTTCTGGGGACTGGCCGTCCTGGCGCTTCGTGAAAGAGGACGTTTGGAGAAGGAGCCTCTGAAATCTCTAATATGCTTTTCAGGACGCCTTAGAGCCTGGAGAACTAAAGAAGCAGTGTTCTGCTAGTAAGTCTGAATTCTGATCCTGGGGGAACTTTATTTAAGACATTTCCATTTGAGGTTGGAAAGCCAGACGAAGTGTCTACAGTTCACACACATGCAACTTTACAAAGCCCCCTAACCAGTCCCCCTGCACCCCACACCCCACTCAGGACCAGGCCCCTGCTGGGCTCTGGCTCATGGATCCTGCCCTAAGGGGGGCCCGTCCCCTGCCCCCCGGGCCTGCCCACAGAGTTTGTCCGTCACCAGCTTCAGTGAACCAGGTGGAGCACGTTCGCTTCTTTCCACCCCAGAGAAGTGAGAAAAGCACTAAGGCACGTGTTGGAGGAGCTCTGAGCCCCTCACGAAACACAGGCTTCTGTTGTAATGCATTTCCACACAGAACTGGGGTGTGTATCTTGATAAAGCATGGCTTCCCTGGTGATGGAAACACTGTCCGGAGATGAAAAGACTCTTAGTCACATCCTGCTGGCTGCAGGAGGAAGCGTTCCTAGATTTTATCTGATTTTCATGAGGATGCACTTACTGCGTCCTCCACTGGCTTCTTGTCTGCTGTCTCTCTTGGATCTGGGCAAACGCTGTGGACAAGCTTGGGTGTGGGTAAGCCGGCAACGTTGACAGTGTAAGGCCAGGTGTCAGTTTATGACCGCCGTGTGATGGGGACCCCAAGCTG